TGGAACTCCCGAGTTTCAACACTGAGGTTAAGGCAAACCCGCTACCTGCTGGTCCCTCCCCAGTGTCTGTAGCACAAACCATGCCGGGCGAAATAGATTGCCAAGCTTCCAAGCCACCAACCCAGACACCTGAAACTGGTTTCACACTGGAGAGCCAGGGACGTTTGGGGTTGGAAGAAATTGGAAGTGGCTAAAACCTCAGGCGCAGTGAGGGCTAAAGAGGCTAACACCAAAGGTGCTGGCTGGGGGGAGGGGAGGCACTGTGCGGTAGAGGCTTCAGGAGCGCTCAGCTCTGCACAGATCGCGGATGCCCCACAAGGCATCTCTCTCATACATCCGTGACAGGACCTTGGCTCACACTCCAACTTAAGAAAGCAGGATACCCAGAGATCAGCTCCACTCCGCTAGAATAGACGGTTTTTATCTGATCAGCCAATTAGGTCCATCCGCCCCGGCTCCAGCCTTCCTATCGCTGCGGTGGAACCCAAGGTACCACTGGCATGTCCAAAAGATGCACCGGTATCCCACGTGCGGACCAAACTCCACGGAGAACTAAAGGGGGACCAAATGCCAGAGAGGAAACCACAGACATCGGAGACAAGGGCTTTGGTACAGCCTGCTAGGATCATGACGAACAATGCCCGAGACCTTGTGCGCCGTCCCTCCCCAGGGCACTCTCACCATTTGTAGCCTCGGCCTCGCTTGAACTTGAGGGTTAGCACTGTCTCCAGAACCAGCAAGACGTTGAGCAGGGCCAGCAGCCAGTAACGGTGTTCTTCCTTCACCCAGGTCACTCTCCAGACGGCGACCAGGGAATGCAAGAGGAACAGCAGCCGGGTGACCAGGGCCTTGAGCAAGACCAGCCCCTCCATTCTGTCCTTGCGCTCTGCCAGCCCGGCGCCTGCGCCCTACCGACCCCGTGGGCAGCACCCTGTGTCCACCTCAGCTCAGGAGCGGGACAGCCCTGGGACTGCGACTGCCGGCTGAGTTCTTGCTCACACTCCCCGCGCAAGACTCCAGTAGGACAGGAGAGTGCCGCTTGCCCCGCCCCTCCAACTTCCAGAGAACTCTTCAAAGACAGAATCCAAAGCCAGCTTCTCCTGGCGGCTGGGCTCTGCAGGCAACTGGGACTGCACCACCCAGGCTCCCTCGGGTGTTATTCTTCAGCACAGCCTATCCTCCTGAGGATGCTGGGGGCCAGCTTCAGTCCCTGCCCTCTCCCCCACCCCCGGGACCCCTGGGAGTCCGTACGAACGCCCTCCACCCTACTCCAAGGAGGTGGAGGTGGGCTAATGGATAAGGCACTGCTGCCCGACTGAAAATGGGAAAGGGGGCACAGCTCTCTTCTCAATTTGCTTTTCTCCCAAAGTGTTCCCTAGATCGCTCCCACATTCAGAGGAGCACAACCGGCCCTCGCGATGACTCGAAGCTGGAACTCTGGAGAACCAAAAGAATCTGCTATCCAAGCAGTTTTAGAACTGAAGGGTTTTTTTTTCTTTTGTTTTCTTGGGGTTTATTCCCCCCCCCCCCCCAAAGTTTGAATGATTGAAAGATCCCCGGCCCCACGGGCGGGTCGACAGTCTGCTTTTCCCAGCATCCCATTCAGAGCATGGGTAACCACGGTGTACTTATTCTTAGCCGGTGGCTCCTGGTCTACGGGAGGTTGGAGGCAGGAGGATTGCTGTGAATTCTAGGCCAGCCTGAGCTACTGTGTGAAACCATAATTCGAAAACATTAAAGGAAGGTGGCAGTTTTAGCTTAATCTTAGAGTTCTTATTTAGCATGGGGGAGGGGCGAGAGTGCCTGGGGGAGGGGAGGAGAAGGGTAGTGATCTTTATGAGTATGTGAGGTAGAACTTCGGGAATCTAGAATTCTTTAGATGAAGATTTGTGAATTAGTTTCCCATCATCAGAGCCAAAGAAAGAACTGAAGTTAGGGCTTCAAAGCCCTGTGTGGATTTTGTTTCTTTGTTTTCTGTCCTCCGGGCTTTTATCATTATTTGTTTTGCAGTTTTTTTTTTAATGGATTCAATATCTCAGTGAAATATAGGTAGAAAAGCTACGCTTGTAAGTTGAAAGGCTATACAGCTAGGAGAGACGATTGTAAAAATCGAAGTGAACTAAGTTATTGAAATGTTGCCAGGTTTACCTAGGGCCTTCAAAGCTCTGTGCCACTAATTCCCTCTTTGTTTGGTTACAAAGAGAGTTTACAAAACTATAGTCCTAGCTCTGTAAAGCAGTGCTCCCTTGTCCAGACAAGTAACCAAAATAAAAGTTTACAAGGGGATATTATCAAAGAGCCATAGAAAGCACCCATAGGGGCATAGATGGAGATTATAGCCAGGACTATGGTTGGCATTGCTCTTTATTGACAAGGAAAGAGAGAGCCACCTAAGCACTCCTAAGACCTGTCAAAGGCTTCAGCAAAAAAAAAAAACCAAGCTAATCCCCCTGGAGCCAAATAACTTGGATTTACTATCCTTTCCTGGAGAAAGACACTCCATGGAAAGTAGGCTGGGGTTAGTAAGAGTGTTAGAAAACTCTTTAAATGTCAGGATGACTTATTAGAAAGCATCTGGGCTTGATTTAGGTGGTCTTTGAGCTCAAAGACCATGGGGCTTTAGATTGAATGCTCTAGAGAGGGGATTGGCTGTCTTGCTGAGCCTAACTTAGAGAAGGGCAGTGCTTGGTCATTTGTAGCTTGAATAATTTGTTTTGACTGTGCTCACATCTGAGGGTAAAAGGACACTCCTTGTATTCTGATCTACAGGAACCCAGAATTTGTCTTCTCTGGTATGAGATTTGCTTTGTTTAAGAGGAAGGTGCTAAGGAGTAGCAGACAGAGACACATTGTCTCTCACTGACAGGAACTTCTCTGTCCTCCAGGCATCCCGGCAAGGACTCTCCAGAAAGGGCATAAAACAAGGGGGATTCAATGTCTTCTAAACATTTTTCTGGGTTCTAATTAGTCTGGATCTGAAAGACAAAAATTGTCATTAAAGACACTTTACAAGTTTTCTTTCTTTTCTTCTACATCTATCTAAATAGGAAAGGGGCTTTGAGAAATATCTGGAGACCTCCAATAATATTTCTAAATGCATAAAAACACTAAGCAACTTAAAACGTCCACAGGGCTTGACGTCCTTTTTGTATCAGCTGGGGTTATCCACAAAAAGCAACCACCATCTCCCATTGGCTCCCCTGTAGTGGTCAGCAGAACCTTTCCAAATGCAAAGTGAATACCGTTCTTTGTTCTTTCTCAGACTTCTTTTTTAAAGTACTGTGATATGGGTTTCAAGGGAGAGCCTTTCCCCAGCTCGAGTAAAGGGAGTAACTGCTGGGAGGAACGAATATTCTAAAGTAGTGGTAGACTCCGAGGAAACCAAAAATGGAGGGTGAGCACGGTAGACAAGCTGTGGACTTGAGCAGCATCCGTCTTCTCAGAGTTGCAGGTCATGGACCACTGCCCAGCAACTCTGACCTTGTTGGCTTCCAGCCAAATGTTTCAAGTCGGAACGGGATTCTATTCGCTTCCTTTAACGCTAGATACCAGGACTCATGGCTTGTGTCTGGAACATTCCCCTAGAGGTTCATATAGTTGATGGTATTGCTGAGTGTCTCTGACTTAGATGATGGTTTGATTTGTGTATGAACTCTTGACTGGGTAGAGCCCTGGAAGATAGTAGCGATGGTAGAAACTTGGGTCTGATTTGAAGATGTGTCATAGGATACGAGATTAAAAGTGTATCTTGTCCCTACTCCCTGTTTCCTGACACCTATGGATGAGTGACATGAACTTGCTTTACTCTGGTTTCATCATGGTATTCTTGTCATGGATTTGAAGTCAGTTGTGAAATAATGAAAGCAATGAAACCACGGAGCCAAAATACATTGTTCCTCCTTTATGTAGTTCAAGTTGAATAGCTTGGTACAGTGAGGATATAGTCACTCACCAGGTCACATCACCAGCCACCATATAGACTACCAGTTGACTACAGTTCAGTCACTTTCCCCAATCCTTACACAATGAGTCCTTTAGTGCCGCTTTCTGGGTCCTCCAACATGGGATTCTGGGTAAGAGCTGTTTAAGCAGTCCACGGAGTAGAGGACAGCAGGTATGTTGGCTGACACATGTAGAACTGTTCCTAGCTGTGTTTACATGCTAACATAGAATACTTGCCATGGTACAGGTATCCCTGCCACGTTCTGCCTTCACCCTGGTGTGGGATTGTGAAGACATCTGTGTGTTTATGATACAGTCCAAGGTTACATCTCCATCCAGAGGTTACCAAAGGGAGAGGTTGCTCTCCGAAGTCACATTCCTCTGGAGTGGTAATTTCCATTCCTCCCTTAACTTCCTGTGCATACTATTTAGATATCATTTCGATACATAAATGTGTGCCGGCATGTGCAAGACAATGACAGAAAAAGTCAATTACTATCTAATGGTGCACACCTATTTCCCCAGAGGAAATAGTTTCAATCAACACTATCTATTGATACTTTTTCTGGTGGCTAGAGTGACACTTTTAAAATATATTTTATATTCTTCCAGTTCAGCTGAGTCTAAATTCTGGTTTTTCTTTGGTTATTTCTCTGTTACATTTACTGCCTTCTAGAATGTGACCACAGTTAGATTTAGATTTACCTGATGTACCTAAGGAGAGAAAAATTGAGGGATTTCTGTATGGAATTAGTCTGTAGTGTGCTTTCATGATTACTGACTGAAATAACCCAGCCCAGTCCACTCTGAGTCGTGCTATCCCTGGACAGGTGGGCCTTGGCTGTCTAAGAAAGACAGCCGAGTAATCCAGGGTAAGCAAATCACTAAGTAGGGTTACTCCATGATCTCTGCTTCAGTTCCTGTCTTGAGTTCCTGCCTGGGTTTCTCTCCATGGACTGTGTATAACCTGGAAGCCAAATAAAGCCTTTCCCCCACAGGAGACACTAGTGTTGCTCAGTGTTTCATCATGGCAACAAAAACCAAACTGGACAAGTGTCTTCTTTTGTTTGTCTTTTCATCTATACCCTGATGGTGTTTCTGAACATGTCTACCTTTGTCTTTTGACTATTATTAAGCTACAGCATTGAAATCTGTCAACTTATTTCAATTTGTGAAAAGCTATTTAGTCCTGAATTGATATCTTATTTTTCACACCAGCTTACTCTTGCTCGGCGTAGACTAACACCTTTTAAACTATCTTTAACAATGTAATTTACAGCTTTTAAATAATCCCGTCCTCCTGAATTATTTCTTTCGATGGCCCACATTATTCAATCCCATGTTTCAATGTCTGTGTTTTGTAATTGATATCCTCTCAATAAGATGCTCTCTGTCTTTTCACATTGAAAATCTATGTCTGGGTTAACCACAGGATGAAATAAGCTGCTGTAGCTAGCTTTTATCGTCAACAGAATTGGATTTAGAATGATTCAGGAAACACACCTTTGAGTGTATGTGTTAGAACAATTTCAGAGCAGTTTAACCAAAGAGGGAAGATATGCTTCAATGGTAGGCAACGCCATCGCATAGGCTGTAATCCAAGACTGAAGAAGCAGGGGAAGAGAGTGGAGAGGCTGAGCACTGGGCTTCCTCTGTCTCTGTTTCCTGGCAACTGTCTCATGTTCCTCTGCCGGATTTATCCCAACTTGCTGAACTGTAGTCCCAAAAATATGAAAGGGGATTTTTTTTTCTTCCTTAAGTTACTTATGTCAGATGTTTTATCACAGCAATTAGAGTGATATACAGATAGAGATACAGATATAGAAGAGATAGAGAGAATGAGATAAAGATAGAGATACAGATAGATGGATATGCATATAGATTATAGATCAAAAATATATATAGATGTAGAAATCTACAGCTACAGAGT